AGGTGCTACAATGACGCGTGTAGCCCACAATGTGAGGTGCTCGAATGACGCGTGTAGCCCACAATGTGAGGTGCTACAATGACGCGTGTAGCCCACAATGTGAGGTGCTACAATGATGCGTGTAGCCCACAATGTGAGGTGCTACAATGACACGTGTAGCCCACAAGCTGTGTGAGGTGCTACAATGACGCGTGTAGCCCACAATGTGAGGTGCTACAATGACGCGTGTAGCCCACAAGCTGTGTGAGGTGCTACAATGACGCGTGTAGCCCACAATGTGAGGTGCTACAATGACGCGTGTAGCCCACAATGTGAGGTGCTACAATGACGCGTGTAGCCCACAATGTGAGGTGCTACAATGACGCGTGTAGCCCACAATGTGAGGTGCTACAATGATGCGTGTAGCCCACAATGTGAGGTGCTACAATGACGCGTGTAGCCCACAATGTGAGGTGCTACAATGACGCGTGTAGCCCACAATGTGAGGTGCTACAATGACGCGTGTAGCCCACAATGTGAGGTGCTACAATGACGCGTGTAGCCCACAATGTGAGGTGCTACAATGACGCGTGTAGCCCACAATGTGAGATGCTACAATGATGCGTGTAGTCCACAATGTGAGGTGCTACAATGACGCGTGTAGCCCACAATGTGAGATGCTACAATGATGCGTGTAGCCCACAATGTGAGGTGCTACAATGACGCGTGTAGCCCACAATGTGAGGTGCTACAATGACGCGTGTAGCCCACAATGTGAGGTGCTACAATGACGCGTGTAGCCCACAATGTGAGGTGCTCGAATGACGCGTGTAGCCCACAATGTGAGGTGCTACAATGACGCGTGTAGCCCACAATGTGAGGTGCTACAATGATGCGTGTAGCCCACAATGTGAGGTGCTACAATGACACGTGTAGCCCACAAGCTGTGTGAGGTGCTACAATGACGCGTGTAGCCCACAATGTGAGGTGCTACAATGACGCGTGTAGCCCACAATGTGAGGTGCTACAATGACGCGTGTAGCCCACAATGTGAGGTGCTACAATGACGCGTGTAGCCCACAATGTGAGGTGCTCGAATGACGCGTGTAGCCCACAATGTGAGGTGCTACAATGACGCGTGTAGCCCACAATGTGAGGTGCTACAATGATGCGTGTAGCCCACAATGTGAGGTGCTACAATGACACGTGTAGCCCACAAGCTGTGTGAGGTGCTACAATGACGCGTGTAGCCCACAATGTGAGGTGCTACAATGACGCGTGTAGCCCACAATGTGAGGTGCTACAATGACGCGTGTAGCCCACAATGTGAGGTGCTACAATGACGCGTGTAGCCCACAATGTGAGGTGCTCGAATGACGCGTGTAGCCCACAATGTGAGGTGCTACAATGACGCGTGTAGCCCACAATGTGAGGTGCTACAATAATGCGTGTAGCCCACAATGTGAGGTGCTAAAATGATGCGTGTAGCCCACAATCTGTGTGAGGTACTCGAATGACGCGTGTAGCCCACAATTTTTAGGTGCTACCATGACGCGTGTAGCCCACAAGCTGTGTGAGGTGCTCGAATGACACGTGTAGCCCACAATGTAAGGTGCTACCATGACGCGTGTAGCCCACAATGTGAGGTGCTACCATGACGCGTGTAGCCCACAAGACGTGTGAGGTGCTACAATGATGCGTGTAGCCCACAATGTAAGGTGCTACCATGACGCGTGTAGCCCACAATGTGAGGTGCTACCATGACGCGTGTAGCCCACAAGACGTGTGAGGTGCTACCATGACGCGTGTAGCCCACAATGTGAGGTGCTACCATGACGCGTGTAGCCCACAATGTGAGGTGCTACCATGACGCGTGTAGCCCACAAGCTGTGTGAGGTGCTCGAATGACGCGTGTAGCCCACAATGTGAGGTGCTACAATGATGCGTGTAGCCCACAATGTGAGGTGCTACAATGATGCGTGTAGCCCACAAGTTTTGTGAGGTGCTAAAATGACGCGTGTAGCCCACAATGTGAGGTGCTACAATGATGCGTGTAGCCCACAATGTGAGGTGCTACAATGATGCGTGTAGCCCACAATGTGAGGTGCTACAATGATGCGTGTAGCCCACAATGTGAGGTGCTACAATGATGCGTGTAGCCCACAATGTGAGGTGCTACAATGACGCGTGTAGCCCACAATGTGATGTGCTACAATGATGCGTGTAGCCCACAATGTGAGGTGCTACAATGATGCGTGTAGCCCACAATGTGAGGTGCTACAATGATGCGTGTAGCCCACAATGTGAGGTGCTACAATGATGCGTGTAGCCCACAAGACGTGTGAGGTGCTACCATGACGCGTGTAGCCCACAATGTGAGGTGCTACAATGATGCGTGTAGCCCACAAGACGTGTGAGGTGCTACCATGACGCGTGTAGCCCACAATGTGAGGTGCTACAATGATGCGTGTAGCCCACAAGACGTGTGAGGTGCTACCATGACGCGTGTAGCCCACAATGTGAGGTGCTACAATGATGCGTGTAGCCCACAAGACGTGTGAGGTGCTACCATGACGCTTGTAGCCCACAATGTGAGGTGCTACCATGACGCGTGTAGCCCACAATGTGAGGTGCTACAATGACGCGTGTAGCCCACAATGTGAGGTGCTACAATGACGCGTGTAGCCCACAAGCTGTGTGAGGTGCTCGAATGACGCGTGTAGCCCACAATGTGAGGTGCTACAATGACGCGTGTAGCCCACAATGTGAGGTGCTACAATGACGCGTGTAGCCCACAATGTGAGGTGCTCGAATGACGCGTGTAGCCCACAATGTGAGGTGCTACAATGATGCGTGTAGCCCACAATGTGAGGTGCTACAATGATGCGTGTAGCCCACAATGTGAGGTGCTACAATGATGCGTGTAGCCTACAAGACGTGTGAGGTGCTACCATGACGCGTGTAGCCCACAATGTGAGGTGGTACAATGACGCGTGTAGCCCACAATGTGAGGTGCTACAATGATGCGTGTAGCCCACAAGACGTGTGAGGTGCTACCATGACGCGTGTAGCCCACAATGTGAGGTGCTACAATGATGCGTGTAGCCCACAAGACGTGTGAGGTGCTACCATGACGCGTGTAGCCCACAATGTGAGGTGCTACAATGATGCGTGTAGCCCACAAGACGTGTGAGGTGCTACCATGACGCGTGTAGCCCACAATGTGAGGTGCTACAATGATGCGTGTAGCCCACAAGACGTGTGAGGTGCTACCATGACGCGCGTAGCCCACAATGTGAGGTGCTACCATGACGCGTGTAGCCCACAATGTGAGGTGCTACAATGACGCGTGTAGCCCACAATGTGAGGTGCTACAATGACGCGTGTAGCCCACAAGCTGTGTGAGGTGCTCGAATGACGCGTGTAGCCCACAATGTGAGGTGCTACAATGATGCGTGTAGCCCACAATGTGAGGTGCTACAATGATGCGTGTAGCCTACAAGACGTGTGAGGTGCTACCATGACGCGTGTAGCCCACAATGTGAGGTGGTACAATGACGCGTGTAGCCCACAATGTGAGGTGCTACAATGATGCGTGTAGCCCACAAGACGTGTGAGGTGCTACCATGACGCGTGTAGCCCACAATGTGAGGTGCTACAATGATGCGTGTAGCCCACAAGACGTGTGAGGTGCTACCATGACGCGTGTAGCCCACAATGTGAGGTGCTACAATGATGCGTGTAGCCCACAAGACGTGTGAGGTGCTACCATGACGCGTGTAGCCCACAATGTGAGGTGCTACAATGATGCGTGTAGCCCACAAGACGTGTGAGGTGCTACCATGACGCGTGTAGCCCACAATGTGAGGTGCTACCATGACGCGTGTAGCCCACAATGTGAGGTGCTACAATGACGCGTGTAGCCCACAATGTGAGGTGCTACAATGACGCGTGTAGCCCACAAGCTGTGTGAGGTGCTCGAATGACGCGTGTAGCCCACAATGTGAGGTGCTACAATGACGCGTGTAGCCCACAATGTGAGGTGCTACAATGACGCGTGTAGCCCACAATGTGAGGTGCTCGAATGACGCGTGTAGCCCACAATGTGAGGTGCTACAATGATGCGTGTAGCCCACAATGTGAGGTGCTACAATGATGCGTGTAGCCCACAATGTGAGGTGCTACAATGATGCGTGTAGCCTACAAGACGTGTGAGGTGCTACCATGACGCGTGTAGCCCACAATGTGAGGTGCTCGAATGACGCGTGTAGCCCACAATGTGAGGTGCTCGAATGACGCGTGTAGCCCACAATGTGAGGTGCTACAATGACGCGTGTAGCCCACCGTGTGAGGTGCTACAACGACGCGTGTAGCCCACCGTGTGAGGTGCTACAACGACGCGTGTAGCCCACAATGTGAGGTGCTACAATGACGCGTGTAGCCCACAAGCTGTGGACGCGTGTAGCCCACAAGCTGTGGACGCGTGTAGCCCACAAGCTGTGGACGCCTAAGATTAAAGTGAGCCGTCGGCCGTGCGCGCGCCGCCAGTCTCGCGCCTTCTCGCGGGCTCTCGTCTGGCGAGACTCACGTGACCACCCCGCCCCCTATTCTGTCGTCTCTCGTCTGGCGAGACTCACGTGACCACCCCCCTATTCTGTCGTCTCTCGTCTGATACTTTGAAATCCTGAAAACTTTGGTTACCGTGGTGTGGAGATAAGACAAACACATTTAAACACAATTCAATCATACACAAAGTCCGTTCATGTGTTTAAACACTTCTAATACACCAAAACGAGACAGGGATATGATTATTCTGAGATTTGTGCAGAATAAGGATACGTGCTGGATTTAAAGCATACAAAACAATAAGCCTTATTCTCACGTTTATTTATATTCTTGTTATTGTTTTCAGTATCTCTAAGTGATACAAAGTGTTATTAACAGATTTAATCCATTTGATCGAAAGTAATAGGGGTCAAATTTAAAAAATACAAACTCAAAAACTTTAGAGATCAATTGACACATAAAGTTAATTAAGGCCTGTATCCTTCAACTGGCCAATTAGTCCAGCGCGGGGTGACGACATAATAAAGGACATGAGGGTAAGTCTGTAACATTGTTTTTTACATTCCAGTTTTATTGTACAGATTTGTGTTAGTCGGTGCTAACGTTGTATACTGTTGGGTTGACCAAAGACAACCTCTAGTTGACCACAGACAACATCTAGTAGACCACAGACAACATCTAGTTGACCAAAGACAACCTCTAGTTGACCACAGACAACATCTAGTTGACCACAGACAACATAAAGTTGACCACAGACAACATAAAGTTGACCACAGACAACATCTAGTTGACCACAGACAGACAACATTTAGTTGACCATAGACAGACAACATCTAGTTGACCACAGACAACGTAAAGTTGACCACAGACAACATCTAGTTGACCACAGACAACTTCTAGTTGACCACAGACAACATCTAGTTGACCACAGACAACATAAAGTTGACCACAGACAACATCTAGTTAACCACAGACAACATCTAGTTGAACAAAGACAGACAACATCTAGTTGACCACAGACAACATCTAGTTGACCACAGACAGACATCTAGTTGACCACAGACAACATCTAGTTGACCACAGACAACATCTAGTTGAACAAAGACAGACAACATCTAGTTGACCACAGACAACATCTAGTTGACCACAGACAGACAACATCTAGTTGACCACAGACAACATCTAGTTGACCACAGACAACATCTAGTTGACCACAGACAGACAACATCTAGTTGACCACAGACAACATCTAGTTGACCACAGACAGACAACATCTAGTTGACCACAGACAACATCTAGTTGACCAAATACAACATCTAGTTGACCACAGACAGACAACATCTAGTTGACCACAGACAGACAACATCTAGTTGACCACAGACAACATCTAGTTGACAACAGACAGACAACATCTAGTTGACCACAGACAGACAACATCTAGTTGACCACAGACAGACAAGATCTAGTTGACCACAGACAGACAACATCTAGTTGACCACAGACAACATCTAGTTGACCACAGACAACATCTAATTGGCCACAGACAGACAACATCTAGTCGACCACAGACAACATCTAGTTGACCACATACAACATCCAGTTGACCACGGACAACATCTAGTTGACCAGAGACAACATAAAGTTGACCACAGACAACATAAAGTTGACCACAGACAACATAAAGTTGACTACAGACAACATCTAGTTGACCACAGACAACATCTAGTTGACCACAGACAACATCTAGTTAACCACAGACAACATAAAGTTGACCACAGACAACATTTAGTTGATCCCAGACAATATCTAGTTGACCACAGACAGACAACATCTAGTTGACCACAGACAATATCTAGTTGACCCCAGACAATATCTAGTTGACCACAGACAGACAACATCTAGTTGACCACAGACAATATCTAGTTGACCCCAGACAATATCTAGTTGACCACAGACAGCTAACACAAAGTTGACCACAGACAACATCTAGTTGACCCCAGACAATATCTAGTTGACCCCAGACAGACAACATCTAGTTGACCACAGACAATATCTAGTTGACCCCAGACAATATCTAGTTGACCACAGACAGCTAACATAAAGTTGACCACAGACAACATCTAGTTGACCACAGACAGACAACATCTAGTTGACCACAGACAATATCTAGTTGACCCCAGACAATATCTAGTTGACCACAGACAGCTAACATAAAGTTGACCACAGACAACATCTAGTTGACCACAGACAATATCTAGTTGACCCCAGACAATATCTAGTTGACCACAGACAGACAACATCTAGTTGACCACAGACAATATCTAGTTGACCCCAGACAACATCTAGTTGACCACAGACAGCTATCATAAAGTTGACCACAGACAACATAAAGTTGACCACAGACAACATTTAGTTGACCATAGACAGACAACATCTAGTTGACCCCAGACAATATCTAGTTGACCACAGACAGACAACATCTAGTTGACCACAGACAGACAACATCTAGTTGACCACAGACAACATCTAGTTGGCCACAGACAACATAAAGTTGACCACAGACAGACAACATAAAGTTGACCACAGACAACATTTAGTTGACCACAGACAACATTTAGTTGACCACAGACTACATCTAGTTGACCACAGACAACATCTAGTTGACCACAGACTACATCTAGTTGACCACAGACAACATAAAGTTGACCACAGACAACATTTAGTTGACCACGGACAACATTTAGTTGACCACAGTCAACATAAAGTTGACCACAGACAACATTTAGTTGACCACAGACTACATCTAGTTGACCACATACAACATCCAGTTGACCACGGACAACATCTAACTGACCACAGACGACAACATCCAGTTGACCACAGACATGGCCAGCTAGTGTGACGTTGCGAATTTTATATTTAGTGGTTGGCCGTCCAATTTAAAACAGACGTGATGTTTTGCTCAGCCGTCCAACTGCTGATCACAGACGTGTCTCATCATGTGTTTGCCGCCGATATCCGCTTCTGAGAAACCAGACTTTTGCACGCATCCACCTACACCACTCCAAACAACATCCACCATACACACTCTACACAACATCCACACAACATCCACCTAACTCTCCATACAACATCCACATAACAACCCACACAACATCCACTATACACACTCAGCACAACATCCAACACACACTCCAAACAATATCCACCTAACACACATCACACAACAATAAACTAACACACTCCACTAAATACCACACCACCTGATGTCACTGAACACAAACCCCAATTCAGTCCTATGCTAACTTTCATATTGTTTATTGCTAATATTTAATTCACTTTACTGTAAGCTGATTGGTCCCAAATCTTCTACACACTTTACTGCAGTGTTTCTTTTAGACTTTTTTCTCCGTGGCTCGAGGGGGGGGGGGGGGAGGTTGGAAGGAGGGATCTTGAAATTTTACTCACCATTATATTAAACCATACAATATTTTACTCACCATTATTGTAAACCATAAAATATTTTACTCACCATTAGTGTAAACCATAAAATATTTTACTCACCATTATTGTAAACCATAAAATATTTTATTCATCACTAGCGTGCCTGTCCAGCGCGTTGCCGTGTTATCAGAAGGAAGTTTGACGTAATATTTGAATGACAATGGGGTTTCATTTTTCTGTGTGCGAATTTTTCTTTTTGCGCTTTTTTCTGTTTGCGTTTTTTCTTTGTGCACTTTTTTTCCGTTGCGCATTTTTCTGTTTGCGCTTTTTTCCGTTGAGCTTTTCCCGTTGCCCATCTTTCTGGGAACCGTACGTTTATCATTCTCAGTAAAGTTGAGGTAGAACACACTTCAGCGACGGCCCAGGTGTCAGGGACGTAGTGGGGTGCTCTCACCACCAAAATACTCAATAATATTCTACTCGCCATTAAAGTATATCCCAAAATACACAATAATTTTATACTCACCATTAAAGTATATCCCAAAATACACAATAATATGAAACTCACCATTAAAGTATATCCCAAAATACACACTAATATTCTACTCACCATTAAAGTATATCCCAAAATACACAATAATTTTATACTCACCATTAAAGTATATCCCAAAATACACAATAATATGAAACTCACCATTAAAGTATATCCCAAAATACACACTAATATTCTACTCACCATTAAAGTATATCCCAAAATACACAATAATATTCTACTCACCATTAAAGTAAATCCCAAAATACACACTAATATTCTACTCACCATTAAAGTATATCCCAAAATACACAATAATTTTATACTCACCATTAAAGTATATCCCAAAATACACAATAATATGATACTCACCATTAAAGTATATCCCAAAATACACAATAATATTCTACTCACCGTTAAAGTATATTCCAAAATACACAATAATATTCTACTGACCATTAAAGTATATCCCAAAATACACACTAATATTCTACTCACCATTAAAGTATATCTCAAAATACACAAAAAAATTAAACTCACCATTAAAGTATGTCCCAAAAAATGTTTTATTGCACATTAAAATACAATACAAACTATTTTTATTCAGTATTAAAATAAACTATAAAATATTTTTTTAAGCTTTAAAGTACACTACAACAAGTGTAGTTCACGATAAAAATACACTTCAAGTACGGAATGGTTGTCCCAATTGATCACTGTAGCTGTGGGTAAAAACGGATTTAGCCGGCAGTACTTGTAAGCATCATTACTTCTCCTCAGTACTTGTAAGCATCATTAAGCAAATGAATGAAAATGTAATTTGTAGGGACGGTAATCGGTCTGTGAGAAGAGAAGTTGATTTCTATCCGAATTACAGGAGGGACAATGTAAAAACAGTTTTAAAAGTTGAAATTGGGATATTTGTACAATTTTGATGCTGACATTTGTGAAAATATAGAAAACACAATAGTCGTGGTGATGTAAATGTTTTAAAATAACGAGATGGGTTTAGAGATGTTGGTGTGGAAATGTACCTACAGCTTTGTTCTCTAGAGCTTCCGGTCTGTTTGTTCTGTTTTGAAAGAAATGCTTAGAGGTATCGCATTTGAAAAAGCTTGATTTCGAGTAAATATTGAAACCAAACAAAATACGACCCATTAAAACTTGAAATTATTGTCTGTTATCTCCCTTATCAGAAATTATAACGCTGAGCACAAAGAATCTTCGATATACGCTCAAATTTTAAAATAGTTCTCAGTTTGTTGACAAAATATCCCCGTGTGATGTGAAAGACAAAAATGTCCCCGTCTGCTGCCCACGACAAAATGTCCCCGTCTGCTCACGACAAAATGTCCCCGTCTGCTGCGACAAAATGTCCCCGTCTGCTGCTCACGACAAAATGTCCCCGTCTGCTGCCCACGACAAAATGTCCCCGTCTGCTGCGACAAAATGTCCCCGTCTGCTGCGACAAAATGTCCCCGTCTGCTGCTCACGACAAAATGTCCCCGTCTGCTGCCCACGACAAAATGTCCCCGTCTGCTGCTCACGACAAAATGTCCC